TAACCTTTGTTCAGATTTTAAACATCTAAATCTGATGATTTTAATCAGCCTCAAGCTTAACAGTAATATCAATTTTAAGCTTTTGAAGGCAGTCAATAACAGTTGTTGTTTAGCCTTCTAATTTTATTCAAAAAAAAATCATGGAAGACCATTTCATATCTTATATTTTTTATGGGACCGCTTAACTTTGCTAATGAGATTCAAATATTTATATTGCTATAAGCATAAAAATTGCCTTTTTATTTCGGGATTCGAACGCAGATTTATAGGCGTCAACCATACCTACTGCGCATTTAAAACTTCATGTTGATATAAGTATAGCATTTCCTCCCAACACTTTCTTTTGTGTATAACTTTTTATTACAATTGATGAAATTTGAGTAAAACTAGTTTAGAGTGTAATGTTTACATGTGCAAAATATCATCACAATCTGTCAAGTGGTTATCGAAATGGCCTCCAAGCAAGAAGTGCTTTGACAAAAAATTGTGGCAGCGGTCGTGGAAAATCCAGTCCAGTCCCACAGATTGGAATCGACAATCCGACCGTGTCCCGTGTGGTAAAATCGTTCAAGGAGACCCAGACGACCCAGCGGGGAGCTGGCAGCGGAAGAAAAGCGAAAACGACCGATCACGTGAACGCAAGGAAGGTGAGAGATTTCTTCAAGCGCAATCCGATCCTTTCGATTCGGGACGTGGCCAAGAAGGTCAATTCTTCCGTCTGGTTCGTCCAGCCGGACTTCATGTCTTCAAGATAAGGAAGGCGCCTAACCGAATCGATAAACAGAATACGGTGGCCAAATCCAGCGCAAGGAAGCTGTACCGTGAGTGGTTGGTGCAGCTGAAATGCATCGTAATGGACGACGAGACGTACATTAAAGTGGACGCCAAGCAGATCCCCAGCCTGGAGTTTTTCGTCGGCAAGTCCCGCCCCAGGTTTTGGAGAAGTTCCGGAAAAAGATGGTCGACAAATTTGCCAAGAAGTACTTAGTGTGGCAGGTGAATTCAGCAAGCCGTACATAACGACCGGCCAAATATATAAAGAAGAATGCCTCCAGAAGCGCCTGCTGTCCTTCCTCCTGTCCCACGAAGGTCACACTCTGTTTTGGCCGGATCTGGCATCGTGCCATTACGCGAAACCGGTGATGGAGTGGAACGAAGCCAACGATGTTGTTTTTGTGCCGAAGGAAGCAAATCCGCCAAACTCGCACGAACTTCGCCCAATAGAAAAATTCTGGGCGATTATGAAGGGCAAGCTCCGGAAAACAGGGAAGATCTTCAAAAACGACAAGGATTTGAAGAAAGAGTGGATCAAAGTGTGTAAGAAAGATGGCGCAAGAGTTGCACAGGATTTGATGGGTACCATTAAATCCAATGTGCGGGCATTTAGCCTAGGACAAGAGGTTGAATGAACCAACTTTGCTCAAACATAGCTAGTATCTGAGTACTGCGGAGTAAATCGATTTCATTTTGCAAGCCAATGGAAAACTGCTTGAAAAATTGTTCAAATTTAGAATTGTTTTGTTCTTTCTCAGTTGATTCCCGAAAAAAAAACCCTGAGCTAGGAGTGCTCGAGCCCTCATGACTCTATCGAAGTTTGTTTACATACATGTTTCGCCAAAGTATGTTTTACTGCAATTTAAAACTCAGTTGAGTCATATAAACTATGCTAGTTTTTATACTTTCATCATTGAGCCTGTTGGTTTTTGTCTTTGAGCTTACAATTAAGAATGTGTTATGGAAAAGAATCAATCATGTTTTATGAGATTGCAATGCTTGACGAGAGATAAGAACAGTAACTGAGTTTGTTGCTTCTGAATGTTTGGCTCCCGTTTGATAATTCTGACTGGCTTCCAAATCGAAACTAACTAGTTTAAAATTCACACTAAATCGCTATTCGTCTGGTTTGACCCATGGCTCAGTATGAAGAATGCGAATGATGCATAGTGTAGCTTTGTTTGGCAAATTCATCAGCGCTGTACCACACTTTTGTTTTTATTAATATTTTGTATACAAATGTAAAATTTACATTATTTTTATTATTATAAGTACAGATACATAAATCATATTTCGAATAAAGCATTTTAATGCTATACCACGCCAGTGTCTCTCCTTTTGTTGCACTGGCGGATCAATTAGCTCGGAAGGCCCTAAATATTAGATGCTGGTGTCTGCTTGGTTACCCGCTGCTTCTTATTGTCGTTCTTGAGCTGTGACCGATGCTGTTCAAGATGATGTTGATTCGTGGAAAACTGTAATTGTACAACGCTCAGCTCATATGTCTGAATCTGAACTAGAATACAAAAGCCTAGAAACAATAAGCGCTTACAGACTACCATCAAAGCTGGGTTGTGTTTTACATTACCTGGAAACATTAATCTTCAAATTCCAACCACTGTTCCTTAGGTTTGCCAACAGGAATCTCGATAGCAACGATCCGACAGACTTGCATTTCCGCCAGTGGGAGTGGAGCTAAAGTGAGCAAACTAAATTCCTTCGTTGAAACTGCATTATACAAATGCAAGTGTGGGTTGTAACGGTCAGAGTAATCAATACACTGAAACTATTCGACTTCCACACAATTTTAAAGATCAATCTTTTAGGTATCGGAATTCAGACCAATTGCCTTTAGCACACATATACTTGAAGGTTTGTTTGATTCGTTACTCAAAATTACTTAAAAAATATGAGGTTTGACCGCTTTCGGATATTCATCTCTGCTACGGTTTTGCCAACTGTGCTCTTCTGGAGAATACATGTTTGTTTTCTGCAAGCTGTAAGTTTCTGTTTTGATTTTTCTTCCTGGTCTCACTTATCGATCAAGTGTGCTATGCGCGCTGCAAACAGACGTCAACAGCAACGCACGGTGGGGTTGAATTCGTGTTTTACGCAACCGTTAATTAACGACCCAACATGATGTGTTTAGTACAAAATTTCGACAAAACTAAACAAGATAGAAGATTGGTGTCAAATAGAGAGTTGTAGAGCGCATTAAGAGGCATTTTTTGTTAGACAAAACAATACACTTTATTACGTTTTTTTTAAATAATAAGGGAAAACCCGAAGGAAAACACAAGCTTTAGACTCGTTTATCCCTAAAATGTGTCGAAATGCAGGTTACTTAAAGTATAAATGACACTATTAAGTAGGAATATTAGCCAATTTATGGCAAGCATAGACCAAAACAGAAAAAGTTCAATAACTCAGTAATCTTTGAGATTTGATCATATGCGTAGAACAATTTTGTACTTCAAATATGATCTTGTATCGCCCCTTAAATTACTTGCACTAAGGAACCGAACACCCTGTATATGCCAAAGTATGTTTGCCATTGTTAGCAGATGGCAATTTTCAGTAAACTATATTTTTCGAGAACTGTAAGATCCTCAAAAGTAGGTGCTGTGCTGTTTAGTTTTAGTGTATCAAGTTCGCACTCTTAGAATCAGGGCCAGTGCCGAGATTTGTCATTGTCATTGAGAGACTTTCGCGTGATATTGACAGACTTGATCCTCAAAAAAACCTTCGTCAAAATCTCATTCATTGTTTCGTCAATGACAAAGATTCACCTGGTTTCAAAAAGTGTAATTTCGTACATTCTGTGTCACATTATTGTTATCCAAGTAGTTCAGGACGTAGATGCTTGTTCACATTAACGGATACATGTAATTGTGTTGCTCAAATCATTTAACTTCGTTACAAATTTAGTTAATATAAAAATCAACACATGTTCGTCACTGACAGCATTGTCATTGACAATTGACATGGTTTGCCTTGACTATGACTGTTATTGTCGAGATTTTGCAGCACTGATCAGGGCAAACTAATATTTCCTCTTGAACAACCATCAAAAAATAAGACCTGTACCTATGCAACATCCTGCTAGTGCCGAATATCATTAATCTGACTTGATTTCCTGAAAGAACTTCAATTACGCTGTTGGATGCCACAACTAAAGTTCATATCGTAACAATAAACGTATTTCAGGAAAGAAAACTTGTTGAAGCCCGAGGTCAATGGGCATCTTTTCTCTTGCAGCTCCAACTCCAAGCTCCTGTTTTCCTCAAAATCCAATTCATTTCACGCAACTACCACAAAGATCCCATCCCAGAATTGCTCTTCCATTCCTGGGAATCAGCTATCCACACCAATTGCCAATCGAACATTTCTTGGTTGTGGCATTTTGCGTTACAATTATCCTGAAGATAGAAGCGAACCGATAATCAGACAATGGCGAAGCAATAAATAAATGCTAAATGGTGAAGAGAAAATAAACTTCCTCCGTTGTATAGCCGCAAATGTGTCACATAACCATTCCGCATCCCGTTCGTTTTGTGAAGGTTGTTTTATTTCGCTTCGCCCATCCATCCCAAACGCCCGACTTCCTCAGTGCAAAACACGCTCACATCGGCTCCCATTCATCCTGCAATCCAGAATTGTCGCCTTCTATGCTGCCAACATAAAGCGCCTGCATCAAATCACTCACTCACTTACTCACACCCATCGGAGTACGTTTTCCATTCTTACCTCTTCCGCATCTGAGTAGGCACCGTTCGTCGTAGAGAGGATCCAACCCAAGTCGCCTACTAGGTTAGCTATACGTATGGGCATGTCAGCAGGATGGGGCAGCAAAGCGAGAACGAATGCCAAAGCATAAGCCAATCCTCCACACGACAATGGAAAAGATGGTTTATTTAAAATTGGAACGGAACAAAATTAGACTCTCTGAAACCCACTCAGCGGGTGATTTTATCTTGAATTAATTTTTCCTCATTTTCGCCCCGAAGGTGCTTCAGTCGGTTAATACTCAAGCGTTCGCCAGTGCCGGGTCAAGACGTGTTTTCCGTAATTATTTAGCCGTCGTCGAAACAATCGCGTTTTTCCTACTGCAAAACATAGCTTTCCCCCGCGGGGAGCAAGTCCGCAACCGGTTGTGGAATTGATTAGACTGGAGATATATAAATATATATATTTTTCTCTTTTGCTGGTGAATGAGGGCAACGACGATTGAATTACAATTTTTGGTTTCAACCCTCGAAGCTGTTGACTTGAGGGCATCGCCGGGAAATGGATATCAAGACGAATCTCGTTGAATGGATGGAACTGTTGAATGGTATGTACCTTATACAGTGGTGAGCGGATGTATTGCACTGGTTTAGTTTTGGAAAACGAGGGCTCGAATGGCTCCAATTATTCATTTTGTGCATCTAACATTGATTTATTGCAGAATCAGCGAAAAATTAACATTCTACATAAGAATATTTTGTAAAATGCACTAAGCATATCCCATTAGAATCCAGGCTACTTTTACAGGAATAAAATAGTATTGCTAGTACACTCGCAGCATGGCTTTAAAGCTGCGGTTGTCAAACAATCTTATGCAGGATGCAATTTTTTCTCTGGATAGGCATCATCTTATTTTCTTAATGTTGAATGTGCTCGACAATATTATTAATTGAAGTAGATGAACTAGTTTCATTGTTATTCTCGTCATTCAAGGAAATTAACCACTTTATTCGAGCAGTTCAAATGATGGTAAATTTTGAGCTGGTTACTGAGTTAATTTTTATTTTACATTTTCTGATCTTTGTGTGTGTATGTGTGTGTATTCCCTCTAACCCCCACTGACCGGCAGTGTTATTATGGAAGAACTATCTCTGCAATGTCGCATTTATGGTCATTGCGACAGTTTTAGTCTGAGAGTGATAGCTCTATTGTAGATTCAGCAACCCATTTCAGAATGTCTAGAAAGTCATGCCCATTCCGAGGTTACTTTCACTTACAATAAGCCCCGCATGTATGTATTACCTCTATCAATTCGATATAAGTTTTACATACACACTTCCAGTTTCAAAATGTTCTATTGAATCCTGGCACGTATTCAGTTTAAGGTTTTTTAATTGTAGAAAGTATTTGAACTGTTCTCACCATGTTAATTTGATCCTCCAATTCATGGGTTCCGTAGTTTAGATTTTCTCTAAGCTTTGCATCTCATTTCGTGATGCACATTTGTGGTAATACTTCCTTCAACGAACACAAATTTTCTTGCATTCCCATGGTCATCTGGGAGGAAGGTCACGTCTAGTGCTTTCCCCAGGAACAAGTTCGCGGACATCAACTACCACCCGTCCAGTCTTGGGCGTATCCAGCTCGCAATCTCTGACACCGGCAAGAGACCAGCAGTCGAGCACTTTTGTAACCGGAAAACTTACTGATTCATGGCAACTTCGACCATCAAATCACCACCAAACCTCGCGACGGACACATTATCAGCACTTTCCCGGGATAATTCACCAACGGGACCGGTTTCAAACTCGCCCACGGTGACGAATCTCTCAATAGAACTACACGCCGAAAGTGTGGCATCCGAATTTGGAAAAACGAGCTCAACCCTCGAAGCTGCCGGGAGGCAATGAAAATCGACACCGAACAATGGAACTGAAGCTGCGTCGTATATTTTGGAGGTTAGATTCAAGGTCAATCGAGTCACTCAAGGCAAACACAGGCAATACACGATATATCACTAACTGATAACTTTGTGAACACTTGAAACTAAATTTCAGCACACAATTTAACAAATCTAAAGCAAAAAATGTTTAATTCGCTGACGTAAAATTCGCCGCAAACGTAGAACACGTCAGCTTTCAAGCGCGGCCTACTACAATCTTCTTTTTTACATTTTCTGATCTTTCGGGAAAAAATATTGTCGAAACCTGGGGGCAAGACAGCTGTACTCAGAGTAAATATATTTGCAGCGAGTAAATTAGAGTTACTCATATTTACTCAAAAATGAGCAAAGTAGTCTCGATTTTCTGATCAAAGGAAATATCGTCTGACAGCATATTTCGTTTGAAGCATCTGTTCGCCCATTTGAAAGATCTAATCGCTCGTTTAACAAATCAAATTGTGGACAAACGAAATGCTCTTGTGGTGGTTTGACTGCACGACGGTTTTACGAGGCTTGTCGTTCGTGTGTGGCTTGGATGCCTTTCAGGCGCCTTCCCTCGTTGGTGAGGATTGGCATGGCCTAGGACGATACAGGAGTGACGGGAGTGACCCGTTCCAAAAGGGGAATGCTCCTTTTCGGTTACCTGAGGTACAACTTGAGCTTTAAACTTCCTTCGTGGTCAATAGAATTGGTCCTTGACTGCTGATTGTGGTATATTATGTAGCTGATGATTCTACGCCAGATTAGGTCAGCTCTGACCAGCTTCGTGGAGTTTGTTAAGGTTCAACAATTAAATTTGAATTCTTAGAAGAAGTAAACAAATTATTTACCCTTTGTGGAACCTTAACATTAATAATCATGCACACTTAGTTTTTTCTACCGAGCTCGGCTGTGCAAATCTTGGCAAAAATAAGTTTCACTGAGATCTCAACACGGAAACACGGCCCCATATGTTTATTTCCTCAATTTTGTGCCCAGAGCACAACATTTCATGAAATATCAAGCGTCTAATCCCTAAAGAATGATCGAGTAATGTTATAAATCGAATGGAGCTTTCGTTGAATTTATAGACAGCATAACACGCAAAAATCATTTGTTACCAATAATGGGAAGGCACTGTATTCTTATCTTTTTGAAAATCGTGCAGCCTGTATGTACTCTATTATTTTTATATATTTGTGTAAATTACGTTTTCATTGAGTTTCTGGAAGTTTTAAAAAAATATAAAAATTGAATTTATTGAATTAATTTAGCCTAATCCGAACCTATCGAACTGCCTCAAAAGTCCCAACACAGAAATTCCAAGAAAGCGTCAACTTACTTTGCTTGACAGCATCGGTTTCAACATTATTTTCAATATAACAATCAGGTTGCTATGTGTATATAAGATATTGAGCAACGTGAGTTACTCAGAGTTACTCAAAATTAACTCCGGTTTTACTCATGAGCGAAAGCTGTCTTGCCCCCAGGTCGAAACTGGAGAACCGCGAAATACATTTGAAAATGGTGAAAATCTACCAACATTTTAAAAATATCTACTTTCCAACTTCTACATCTCGAAAACGGTGTGACTTAGCAAAATTGTATGTATGTTTTTTTGTTGTTGTAAATTTAGTGCACTTTAAATATATTAAGTCGGAAATGGATATTTTTCAAACTTTTTGTCCATCACTTCTGCATCTTGACCTACAATGCAATAGGTGGTATTGATTATCCTCTAAAACATTTCAAAAAATAAAAAAATACAAAAAAATATTTTTGAGAAAAACTGAGCTTTTATTTTAAAATAACAAGAAAATCATCCTGATGATTATTTTTTTCAAATAATTTCAGATGTTCCCTAAAACATTCCAGGATAGAACAAACATTTTTCGAGCAACAGTTTTCTGAAGATAAACTTAACATTTTTCTATAGGCTCTTTAAAAAATTAAGGCTAAATAAATAGTGATGAAGATCTTCATTCTTCATTCCTCTATTTAACGTCGGTCTCTGTTCCGCAATCTAGTCCCAATCACCGACGGGCATCGATTGCCATCCATTTACGGCAATTGAATGTGCAGGAAATCAGCTTCCACACCTGCGAAGGATATCGCACCCATTCTTAACAAACATGGGCCGGAACCAACGGCTTGGCTTTACTTCCCTTCCGAAGGAAGACGTGACCAGAGATTTTTATGCCTCAGAAAAATCCAACCGACCTCGGCTGGGATTGAACCCAGACCCATTGGGGTGAGGAAGCAGTCACGCTTACCACTACACCACCAGCGCCGGCTGTTATCTGAAGATGCAAAATGGCATTTTTGGGCATTAAGAACGTTTCTGAAAATTGCGAATTCGTCTGGAATCCCTCAACAACTCCAGTAAAGGAGAATCGAACAGCAAACAATTAACGGGAGCGAGTTTTTTATTAATCTTTAATCAACTACGATTGTTAGGGGAATATAAAGAAAAAGAAAAGGATTAATGTTTGTTTGTTTGTTTGTTTATTAAGGACATTTTACATCTCCGCGATGCATTCATGTCCGTTCGATTTGATGTTTGGTGTATTGTGTATGGTGTGCAAGTGTTTTTGTTAGTGTAAGTGCTACAATTCAGTTGCTTCTCTCTTCTTTTCTTCTTTGCTTCCAAACAATTACTTTTCTCCTTCGCTTCACTTCATACTACTCTCCTACTTCGCTTTTCTTCACGAATTTCTTCATCTTTCTACCATCTTCACCTGTGCAATTTGTTATTCTAAAGTTCTTGTAATTTGTTATTCTAGAGTTTTTTGTACAAATCCGTTTCATGTAGGAAATTAAGCATTCGTGTTGTTCTTTCTTCCGTGTTGTCCAGAGCTTCACGTAGACTGGTGCTGATGTTATTTTTCCTTCTCTCTTCGTCGTATTTCCTGCACTCAAGAATGATGTGCTTTACATCCAACACCGTGCCACAACATTCACACACCGGTGGGGCTTCCTTCTTCAGAAGAAACGTGTGGGTTAGTCGCGTATGGCCGATTCTCAGACGTGTAAGCATACGCTGGTCGGCTGAACTTCCTCGTTCTGTCCATCTGTGCGTGTCGAATTTCACCTCCCTCAGCTTCGATTCTGTTGTGCTAAACCACTGCCTATTCCACTGACCACGTATCGCATGTTTCACCGCTTTTATCGCATCCTCGCTTGGAATCGGTACGTCGATGGCTGGTTGTCTTCTAGCCTCATTGGCTAGTCGGTCAGCTTCAGAGTTTCCCCTGATGCCGGCGTGTCCAGGGATCCAGCAGAAACGGATGATTTTGCTTTGCACGATTCTCTCTACTTCCTGCACCCAAGAAAGCCGGGAAGTTCCAGCCTCCAAAGCCAGTAGGAAGCTTGCGGAGTCCGTGAGAATAACCAACTCATTTTGAACATTAGGGATGGTGGCGGCCATTTTAATAGCGTAGGCCTCCGCAGAGAAAACACTACATTCGTTCGGAAGACTGTAGGTCCTAGATAGCCCTTCGTAGAAGCCGTCCGTGTAGACGATGGTTGAACTATGGAAGCGAGTCTCCAGTAATTGTCGAAGAACTGGACGAACTTTCTCCGGTGGGTCTCCAGCGCGTATGCTTCTTTTCACATCCCACACTATCGTCGGTTTTCGTGCGTGCCACAAGCGATTGCTCTGCCTCACGAGTGAACCGACAGCAGGAAGCGTTGAACCGGTTAATTCTTGGAGGCGATTTGAAGCGCGTGTAATCAGAGGTAGGGTGCTGCTGTTTGGATTCTTTGTGAGCATTCGGATGGCAATGTGTACTGTGGTCTGTGCTGCTAGCAGTTCGAAGGGTAGAGTCCCAGCTTCGGCCATCACCGAGTTAATCGGGCTCGTCACGAATGCTCCGGAAGCGAAGCGAACCATTTTGTTGTAGGCAGGAGCGAGAGTCTGAAAGGTTGCTGGCCCTCCTCGACTAACAAGTCCAATCCCGTAGAGCAGCTTCGCAGTAACTATGGCTGACCCAACTTAAAGCAGAGAGGTCCGATTACCACGTGGAAGTTTTGCACCGATCATCTGTAAAATCCGTAACCGAGATTCGCATGCTTTCTTAACCATATTGCAGTGAGGTTTGAAGGATAACGTTCGGTCCATGGTTACACCTAAAATCCTCAGCCGGTTGGTCTTTGGCACGGGAGTTCCTTTGATAGAGATATCTCGCACGGGATCCCGTCTTGCGTTCGGACTGCAGTAGAAGACATGTGACTTTGTTGCCGACACAGTGAAACCAACGCTTTTCGTCCATTTGTTGATGGCTTTGACGGCAGCCTGTAATTTTCGGTGTAAGCCTTCAGTTTTAGCACCTCGCACTGCTAAGAGGATATCGTCCGCGTACAAAAGAATGAAGACTCCGTTGGGCACTACTCGGAAGATGGGCTGCATCGCGATGAGGAACAGCGTCACTGACAGGACAGAGCTCTGCGCAACTCCGTTTTCCAACGGATACTGGCGAGACATATGCCCCCCAACGGATACCTGGATCGTTCGCTCCGAGAGGAAACTTTGCATCATGTTCAGCATCCGACCACGTATTCTCCATGACCTCAGAGTGCGGATTATGCCGCGCCGCCAGGTGGTGTCGTAAGCCTTCGACAGGTCCAGGGATGCTATCAGACAGTGCTCGTCTGTGCTTGGAAGCGTTCGCTCGAGCTCGGAAAAGTACGTGTCGGTGCCTCGCCCGGCACGGAAAGCGTGCTGTCGTTTGTCGAGTCGCCCGCTCGACTCTAGCTCGGTGATCAGTCGTCGATTTATGATGCGTTCAAGCAGCTTCGCCATGCAGCTGGTGAGCGAGATTGGACGGAACGCAGCGGGTCCGGTATCGAGGCAGTTTGGCTTCGGAATGGGCACCACGATTGCATTTCGCCAGCTGGTGGGAAACTCTCCATTACGCCAGATCCGGGTGAGCAGCTCTAGCAGTGTCATCTTCACGGACAAAGGTAGACGTCGAAGCATTGGGTACCCTATCATGTCGGGTCCTGTCGAGGCAGCTCGCCCTTTCTCGAGAGCCCACAACAGTTCGCTTAGGGTAATGTCGCTGTTGTACACGTCGTCCGTGTTTGGCGAAACATCTATGGACTCTCTTTCAGCTGCTGCCTTAGTCTTCTAAAAAGAAGTAGGGTAACTGGAGGTCACAGATCTATCGCTGTAAAAACTGGCTAGCGCTTCCGCAGTTTCTTCGGGGTCATCGGTGAAGCCATCCGATCGCTTGAGTGCGACGGTACGTTGTTGTCGTGCTGCTTGGTGCAATTTTGGCCACGAAGTTCTCCCACGATCGTTCTTTTGCTTCCTTTATCGCCTTCCGTGCTACAGCTCTGGTTTCCTGAAACCTCACCAATGCAGCGGGTTGATCAGGATCAGATGTCTGCAGCCGCCGCAGATACCGAAGACACTTTCGTCGATGTCGAATCGCCGCCTTCGCTTCAGGGCACCACCATGGTACCGCTTTAGGCCCCATACGGCCGCTGGTTTGCGGTATGGCACGAGTTGCTGCTGCAATTATCTTCTCCGTGAAGCTGTCTACGTCCCATTCAACATCTGACCGGATGGTTTCTGCGGTGATACGTTCATATAACGACCAATCAGCGCGATCGTACAACCATTTCCGCCGTGTCGTTCGTGAGGATGACCACCCAGGAATAGAAACTGTTATCGGGAAATGGTCACTATTGTGCGTGTCCGGTAGGGTTCGCCACGTGAATCTGCGAGCCACACTCTCGGAGCAGAAGGTCAAATCGATTGCAGAGGTGTGGCCGAGCGCGTTCACTGTTTGTGATCCCCATGCTAGATGATGAGCGTTGAAATCTCCCAGAAACATGATAGGACCTTCCAGTCGGTCGAGTAGATCACTCAACGCATCCTGACACTGTGTTGAGCTCGGCGGGACGTAGATAGAGACTACAGTTATCTGAATCGGTGTGTGGATGCGAGTTTTTTTTATTAATCTTTAATCAACTACGATTGTTAGGGGCAAGGTTGCAAATACTCATTTCAGCTAAAATAATGTTTTTCGGAATAATAAAACCAAAAGATGGTATGATGGCATGTTTTACTTGTAACTTACAAGAAGAAGTTACAAAGTATGCGTTGGAAACATAAAACCTGTAAATTTTGCTTTCTATGAGTCACAATCAACGATTTTCTGATCGCTGAGTGAGTGAGTGAGTGAGTGAGTGAGTTTGTGAAAAATCACTGATTGTGACTCTCATGAAGTGAAATAAACAGGTTTAATATGTCAAACACATTCTTTGCAATCTCTTCTTGTATCCTACCAATTCAAAATTTGATCATGGCATCTAATTATTTCATAATTTAGAAAAACATTGTTTTAGCTGAAATGAGTATTTACAACCTTGGTTAGGGGAATATAAAGAAAAAGAAAAGGATTAATAATTATGATTTAATTTCACTTCCTTAATTGTTTATCCTTGATTGCCGCGCTTATTTCGTCTACAATTTGCAGACTAATACTCGAAATACGCGTATCTGTCAAGGATAAACAATTAAGGTAGCAGAATTAAATGGAAATTACTAATCCTTATATCTTTCTATATACAGGTAGCCCACTATAGAAGCCCCCATTCGTCAGGGGAATGTTCTTTTTTAAACTTTAATTCGATTGAAGTTAAATTATAAGCAAATTGATACATTGAAACTTGTTTCCCCTGTTGTGACTGTTTTTCTGGTGCCGGACCAATTCGGCCCACACTGTACGAAATAGACATCTTTTTGTTGTGCTATTTCGATTCAACACACACGAGTTGAATTTAAAATGTTGCACTTGTCCAAAACATTCATTTTTTGTTGTTCTGTCCTCATCGTTGCCTTTTCTCTCGTCTCTCTTATTCCAGACATGCTTCAATTCCTGGATGCAACCGCAGTTGCAGAAATGCGCTCCCAGAAGGCAATAAACGGAACCCAACGACGACACCCACAATGTGCTGACTTGAAATGCGAGCAAAAATGTGATTGGTGTCTCCAAGCGGGTGGTGAGCCCTGGATGGCCACTCCTGGGACCGACGAGGGCGATGGTGAACGAGGGGGAAACGACCGACAAGAGAGTGCCGAGTACATGAATATTGTCAATAAAATAGATGAATCTCGCTATACGTTGATACACAAATGCAATGCGGTGCTTAGAAAGCTACATGAGTGGATGTCGTCGGCGTCGACGTCTCTGCTGACGAAGAAAGAATTAGAAGAAGAGGAGGAAAACTCATATCTAGATATGGGTGGTGTGGGACATAAAAATGATATTAATTTAACCCAGCCGTCAGATAAGATTGACTCTTGTGAAAAATTCGAAAGCAACGATGCTGACATACTCGTGGAAGTAGAGCCTTCCGGCGACAATGGCAAGAACGAGGAAGAACTCAATATGGAAGAAAATTGCTATGACTTTACAACCGATAGATGCCTGTACGATGATTACTCTTCCGACATCAAATTGAATAACGTTGCGTGCGTAATCCCAGTGGATGAAGATGATAGCAAGTGTCCCTTTAGTGGCTTACCAGCAGCCCATCTACGCATAAAACAATCGCCCAAGTACGGGACCCTATTCAGGCACGAGAAGCGATTGTTCTTTGATCAAACGAAGAAGTTTTATGTCGGTCTGCTCGATCGATGGCTTCTGTTGTACAACAATAGTAACGAACTGAAACCGGCACACTGCATTCACGTCAAGGACATAAAGCTAGACCTCAATCTGAACGATCAAATCAATGAAAAGAACCAGTTCCACATAATCACGCAGAGCGATATGAAGATTTGCTTCCTTTCACCCAGCTTCATGGAACTCAATGAGTGGATTGTGGCACTTGAGCAAAATTTACTGACTAAAACCGAAAGCATACCACCAAACAACAGTCCCCGGAAGCTACCACTTCCTCCAACGCCGGACGAACAACCCGATAACAGCTGTTTGACTCGAAACGACCACGTCGATAGCATCTACGAAGAGCCTCAGCTTTTGCACAAACAGCGAGAACTTGTGGAAGAGCTACAGAACGACTATGACACTCCGAAACCAGCCAGCGTCGATGTTTGTCACCAGAACCAAAGTCAACAGCACACGAAAACAAGCCCAACTAAAATAATTAATGATGCTCTGATTTCTCCAACCAGAGCAAACAAGTATGAACCAATTAGAAATACCGTTGGGCCAACTGTTGCGACTAACGTTTCCGCTTCCCCGACAACGCCGACGACAACACCAGTTAAAAGTTGGCTCTTTAATCGTTTCCATAAATCACCATCCTCCTCGGATGGCGGCGAACAGCAGAAGCACACTCGGAAGGTGTCGGCCAAGAAGCTCTCCTTCCCACAGCAGGAACCCTGGCCAGGAACAAGGCTGCCACAAGCACCACATCACCTACCAGATGTGATTGGAAAACCACCCAATGCGACCAAAACTAGTTCCAGTACGGTCCCGTCGGCGTCGGGTAAGGGGACGAAAATAAATATGATAATTAGTCAACTGGAGGCCAACGGTCAATTGAGCCTGCTGTCGAAAAGTTTAAACGGCCCGACCAAGCGGAACACGTGGTGCGTAGAAGAGTAGCTAGTAGCAAGCCGAGGAAAAGGATAAGGAAGTGTAGTGTTGCCATGGGTGCCATGTATGAGTGTGATTTTCTGGGTAATAAATCCAAAGTGGACAGAGAGAAAACCGAAATTTCCGATCCTTTTAGTTTCTCAGTCCCTTTCGACCGTTATTAGTTGTAATTTGTTTCGAATATCGGTTCCTTTTCCGGTGTCTGGATTGGCGCTGTTAGCGTGGCTTAGATTGTGTTGAAGTTGTTAGTTTACACCATCAGAAACTTTCCCGGAAAACTTTTTCATTGGATTTTTAAATGTAGGTGGTTATCGTGATTCAAATTAAATTCAGTTTGAGAATAGAACTGTTCGCTTTGCTATACTTTTATAACGACTAGTTTTGCAGTTGTTGGTTATTTAATCACGTTGTCTCGGGAAGTTCCAGCCATTTATCCCCAGTAAGCGTATATAAATAGGGAAAAAATAAGGTTTCTGTTTACTTTCACAAATATGTTGCCGTTTTAGAAGAAGCCTGTTCTAACATGCTTGTTAGAGGAACATGCAGTAGTGCATTATTCGTACTACGGAGTTACACATAAAATATCTAGATAGAGCTGGAATTAGGGCGTAACAGCTTTTGTAAACAATGACTTCTCTTGATGTCTAGAAAGCCAATACTCGCTCACTCAAATCAACGTCACCATCGGGTAGGGGAAAACTTCCACTTCCCGTTGGTTATGTTGGTTTGCGAGGGCGCGCCTTAAGGGGGTATTCCCGATCTTTTTTTTCAAAAAATCAAATTTTTTTTTTCACGTTTTTTTTGTACTTTAGACTATATACTTTCATCCCTCCAAGCCGTTTTCCGATCAGCGAATTCGGTGTCCAGGCATAGCTGACTAATGGTAAGAACCCCCAAATGGTTTTAACTAAAGTCATAACTTTAAACGCGTTTTTCTCGAAACCACATTTTTTATCGGGCGAAGATTTTTCTCAGAAACTATAAGAGATATTGACTTGAATCTTTGCGCATTGTGTTCCTTATTAAATTCTTTGGAGCTTCTCCCACTTTCAGCCAAAAATATTAACATTTAACATTGTTTGAAGCACCTTAAAGCTGCAAAAAAGCGGGCTAAAAATCGCCTGGTTTTTCATATGGCCGCCATTTTGTTAATTTGCAAGATTTTTTGCTGCCAACGGGAGAAGCTCCAGAGAATCTTATGCAGATTATTAATTTCATCACGAAATCTGTTTCAGATGAAGCCGTTCCAGAGAAAAGTCTTCGCCCGTCCAGGCGTTTGCGGCGAGCAGGGGTCTGTTTGCCGCCATTTTGTGACGTCAATAATGTCTTTTTTTATGTCGAAAAAAATTTATTTGCAAACTTTAATGTTCAATAAACAAGAATCCCAAAGAGTTAGGCGCATTACTATTCATTTTCCTTGAAAAAAAAAATTAATTGAAAAACAGGCCGAAAAAAGGCAAAAGATTGGGAATACCCCCTTAAGTTTCGAGAAATCATCGAGAGAAGTCATTGTTTACAAAAGCTGTTACGCCCTAATTCCAGCTCTATCAAGATATGTGGAACTTGAGTCTCAAAAGTTTAAGCTTTGAAGTGCTATACATGATTTGTCAAAGTGTTAAATGCAGTTTTCAATCGACCCAAAGCATCAAAGTTCTTAGGGCGTTCACAATGCTTAGCTTAAAAATTGTTTCAAACTTCTCGACAGTTCTAAAATTTGAAAGTGTCAAAACTGAAACAGTAACACGATCAGCGCAACGCACAATTTTAAAAGGTGTTTGGTATTCATCTCTATAAATGTGAGCGTGTGTTTGCTTCGGTGATTTTAGCATGAACGGAGAAGGTGACTCTGATTCAAGAACATGTCCCCTAGAACAAAACGATTACAACAGAGTAATCCAGTGTCAGGTAACGAGTTTGAACCACGAGAAGAGGTTCCGGACAATTCTGCGAGTTACTCCATGGAATTGAAGCTGCTTGTGAGGTGAAAGCAACCTACCTCCCAGCGTTCTAAATGATAACCAGGGTGAACCCAAGGGGTAGGTCACTCCACACAGTGCGCCAAAGCACTATTTGGGCACACCTGGGCACCTTCATTGGCACTGTTTGGCACCCACACGGCGATAAAAAAGTACCCAAAATAAGTACATTTCCCTAAATTCCGGGGTTCAGCCCTATAATCCAAAATTTGAGTAAATCGCATATAGTAGTTGCCATTCAACACCTGTAAAAAAAATACCGGGACTAACGGCTTTACTTTCCTTCCGAAGGAAGACGTGACCAGAGATTTTTATGCCTCAGAAAAATCCCACCGACCTCGGCTATGATTGAACCCAGACCTATTGGGGTGAGAAAGCAGTCACGCTTAGCACTACACCACCGGTGCCAGCAAAAAAACAATTCTTAAGTATATTCTACCCAAAATTATGTTTAATTCACGTAAATTTGCGAATACGCAATTTACTCAAAAGTAACTTATTGGGCTGAACTATATTGTTGGGTTGAATCTCTCAGTGCAAGTGAGAGGCTGAACTCAATATTAAGTAAAAATAACTCAAATTTTGGGTAGTATTATTTCTCCGAGCATGGTTTGACATATGCATAACCTTTAAAGTTACTGGCAACACTGTTTTATCTCTACGCAGTGCGCATCTGTCAAAATTTGATTTAACCATTTTTGTTTTGAAAACTTGACCGTGAGTTTCCACCAAGGCCCGCCATGCATCAGCAATGCCTTTCCACAAACGATTCAGCCAGCGTTCACACATTTGGACCGCCGCGCATACCAAAACCAGGACAATCGCTAAAATGATCAAGAACAGCTGGCTACGGATTAATGCCCGGAAGGTCAATAATAAAACCAAAATTTTCTGGCTATCAGGACGTTTCTAGCTGTTCGTCATGTAACCGAGCGTTTAATATCCGTCTGATCATTCGTTAGCCTTCCAACATCAGCAGTACATTTCCCCAGCGGTTGTAGAATTCGAATTCCATCAGATGCGTTTCGATGCTGTTTTTCCGATTATCTGCAGCAGTCGGTGAAACTTTATCGCCAGCACGAGGGGATCTTCCGGTTGAATAAATCTATCTTGTATTAGCTTCTCCAACAGAGGTGCCTCTGGATCACCGTTTTGGTTCGGATTCCACTACTTTTGTTCTCACAAACCAATACCAATACTACCACCACATTTACACTGTCAAAATACCGGGTTGCCAAGCATGCCATTATTCACAAGCAAACAATGTCAGTTAAATGATTGGCACTCTCGCTACTGCCGGCACAGCTGCGGCACATTGTGAAAAAAGTTGGCGCAAAATGAGTGTGTAGAGTGCCCACCCCTTGGGTGAACCCACAGTTTTAGAAGACGTGGATGGTTCGATGCAGCAAAGTATGTGGGAAAATGCCGACACAGCATACTCTTGAACTTGAAGCTTTCAGTTTGGCGAAGAACTTTGAATTTGCATGATCCATACCGACAACCTACAAGCTTCTACAATGTTTTATCCACAAATTGACGACAAATTGAATTCTCTATACGATCAAAAAGGTGGTATCAGATTAATTTTAGATCAGGGAGATCTTCGATTCAACGATTGCGCAATGTAACCGGATATAATCTTGAACACGAACAGTTTCTTCGCGTATGATAGTCGGTAAAGGACGTGAACTTCCATATAGGAAAGCTGAAGATTTGGGTGGTACGTTTCAATACGGAACCACCTTCTTTGGATTCGAGTGCCAAGATCCGAGTCAAGATCTACAGGATGAGTTGTTCAAGAATGGTTGCAACTTCATTGGAAAGCATATCTTCTACTCCCTGTTCCACTCGGAAATCACCGAAGAACCTCTCGAAACGTACATCTATTCCAGTCTGGTCTACTGCCAGAAACTCAACCACTTAACCTAGGATAAAATGCACGTTTCTCTACCTAAAACTGCAATGGGCCTATCAGCTTTAGCAAACAAAACTTTGTAAGCCCTTTACTCGCATAGCATAAGCAGCCCACACAAACCAACATGGGCACCTGAAGGTCTTTCGAATAATTTCTGAGTAACCTAGGTCCATGAAAGGATATCTGAAAGACATGATTTCAATTTGAGGACAGTAGAAGCAAGACCAGAAGGTTCCGAAGAAACGTCCTCAACTTTTTGGCTCAGCTCTCGTACTGTCTTCCATTCCGAGCTAATCGATGCACCCCTCAAAACTTAGGAAAATCCACGAACCCCTCATTTTATCTGTCAAACTTTCATAGCAAATCAAAACACTTGGGACCAATAGGCTAGTTAAGTAGTGAGCCAATTTAAAATAGTTAGTTTCCCCCGGTAGAAGGTCTTCAGAAAAATGTTTAGATCAACCTGAAGTATTGTAAAATATCCAAGGCTTAGGAGTTCTCTGATCACCTGATGATCTTATTTTCTGAGACACCTGGTGTCATGAGACAATATCTAACAGACGTGATTTGAATACTTGGACAGTTTGAGATATTCATAATGGTACCTGATCAACCTCATGTCTTGAACAAATATCTTGAGGATTTCATTGAGATCACTGATCACCTGATGCTTTTTAAATAATTTCTAATCATCCTGGTGTCATGCTTGAATATCTGAGAGACGTGATTTGATTTGTCGAACAGTTGATTTAGAATAATACTTGATCATCCTGAAGTATTGAACAAATACCTAACGAAGTTTTTTGAGATATCTGATCACCTGAAGGTTTTTAGAATAATTTCGGATTCACGTGGTGTCAGAATATCTGAGAGGCGCAATTTGATTTGTTGGATACCTTCAGAATGGTACCTATTTAACCTGAAGGATTGAAAAAATACCTTGGGAATTTAATGAAGGTGTCTGATCCCCTTATGGCCTTTGAAATAATCAATGAGCAACCTGGAATCATAAGATAGTACTTAATGGAGATTCCGGATTACCTGAAAGGTTATGAAGTGGTTTCTGAGTCGCTTGGTATCATATGTGAACGTCGGAGATGAACCAGCCTACGGCTAAAAATCTCCTAAATAAAGAAAAAAAAAATCATATGTGAAAATATCTTAGGAATGTGATTTGGATTGTTGATTATTAATAGCGATTATTTAATGGAGATCGCGGA